ATTTAATATATTATCACTGAGTCACAAGGCCAATGATTGGAATTAATTTCCCAACGAATTCTTATCTGAAGTCCACCATCCACTGGAGGAAAGCACTCGCATCTTCCGGAAGAAACTATTAATTTGTACACATACGTTCAAATGAAGCATCGAAATCGCTATTGAATTGTGCTTAAATTTTCAGTAGCAACTTAAGTTGAGATTTGCAACTACTTAAACAAGACGTGTAGTAGCGAAGTTGTAACTGGCGGTGCATAGAAGTGGTAAGTTGACTGAGCTTTTATCCATATAGTAACTAATAATGCAATTATATATGTAACGAATATTCTTAGCCTCGCTAAATTATTTTGCATCAAAATCATTTTTAGTCCAGATAATTTTCTATTTATATTCGCGTTTAATCTGTTAAGAGAATTAAAAGTAAATAAATAAAATATTCCTTAAGCACTTTTAACGCTCATGAAAAATTTGTGCTTTACAATTTTTTTCAGAAGACCTGGAAAAAGCACTGAGGCTTTAGTTGAATATGACTGACTAAAATATACCTTGAAACATATTCACATATAAATTCCTTTATCAGCCAATGGTGTGAGTATTCTTGCATAATTTTGGGACTCATCGTCGAATTGTTATTAAACGAGACAGATTAGAATCGGCTTGCTCAAAATGAATATGCCCCTCGCTATTGAATCACTTTCAAGGAGTAGACATGAAAGGAAAAGAAAATAGAGCAAAGCCAGCCGCCATTGAAGCGAACACTTCTATAGAGAGCGTCGAGCTTTTTATATTTAATTAAGCAGTTTAAAGCGCCAGAAATCCGAACGCTGCTCTATAGAAAAATGTAATTATGCCAAATGGTGTAACATTAACGAAAACGTGCCATGAAAGGCGTACTGGCCACTGGGCCCTAGTGTGGATGCTCCATTCTGTTCCTGTGGGGGGCTACGAGAGCGAGATAGAGTGGTGCGTGTGTGTGTGGAATTTAAATGGAAGCATTTTAAGTTTTGCTATTCCATTGTAGGTTCAAATAGGGTAATGGCAACGGGGTAAACGGGGGGATCTGCTTTAGTTAGTTGTTTGGGCCTGGCCAATGGCATAAAACAAGTTCTTCGCTAAAGCTCTTTATATTTTGCATTTGGTTTGGAATCTGCGGTTGGGGATGATGAAATGTAGCGTGGCAACACCTAAATTATTTTTTCAAAGGATTAAATTAAATTCTATTCAGTTCAAAGGCAAAAGAAAAATGTAAAAAAGGATACAAATGAATAATCTCTGGTGAAACAAGTGCCTGAAATTAAATCAGCGAAAAATCAACATCATTAAAAATGCTTGTAATATTTTTACCCTGAAAACTGGATTCGTGTGTGTGCGACTGTGCGTATAGGCGGAAATGCACGTGTAAAACCTATAGCTGTTTTCTGGTAATGTTGCTTTCATGCCCTATAGTTTTCAACAGTTCAATATTTCTTTATAAGATACAGGTGATATTATAAATTCAAATTTATGGTCAATTATAAATGGGATGTTATTTACTATATTTTATATATAAGATTATTCTGTATATGTCATATTTTCTATATGTATGTTTTTTGTGATTCTTAGTTTCATTGCTTTTTTTAAGTGTTTAATAAGAATTTCGAATAAGACGTTCCTTATCATGCATAATGCCTAACAGCATAATTTCAGATATTGAAAAATGTTAAAATGTCTCGATCAGCAACTGAAATGCCAGAAGCAAGCTAAATAGCCAAATATCAAAAAGCTCAGATTTTCTTCAAATTTAAATAAGAGTCTCAATAAATCGTAAAGCCATGTTAGTCGTAAGAAATTCTTGGCCCCTGCTTTTTCGGATTAGTCGGAATACACTGTATATAAATACAAAGGAAATCTTCATTCTAACTGATTATAATTAATATTTCTATAGGGTATCTCCTAGTCGCTCATCCCTTTGTTATTTGAGCTTCGTGCATTCCAGTTGAATGCATAAATATCTCTCTCCATACATGTAATTAACAATTGATTTAAATGAATGTATGAGGAGAAAAGTAGCAATTCTTAATAATTACAATCCCTTCATATTGTTTTAAAACTATTTTAATGTTATTATAAATGTCATTATTACTATTGTTAGAACCTTTGTGATTTCCATATGTTAAATAGAAATTGAGTATCGTGTGAAGTATTCAATGAAAAAATACAACAATGATGTTCGTATTATGAGTGTGTTAGTAGACGTAACTAATTTTTACTACTTATAAAAAACAAGTAAGAAAGCTCTAGTTGGGTTTCTCGACTAGGAGATACCCTGATCCCAGTCCTATCTCCGTTTTTTAATATTTTCCATAGTTAACATTGAGTATTACAAAAAAATAATAAATAAATACCGACATTACGTCACCAAGATACGAACCCACATTGTCTACGCAACGCGCATCAACTCTTTCAAAAGTGCCACTTCATAATCAAACATGTAAGATACTTCTAGTTGGGGTGCCCGACTAGGAAATACCGCTACTTAATAATTAAAAAATAAAAATAAAATAACAATAAAAAACACCCCTGCGCTGCCGCCTGTCTCGAATTCAGTAGTCGTCTGCAGCGAGCGTCGCCTCTACCAACACCACCACTCCGCTGCTTGTGAAAGTTGCAAATGTCAACCTTAGTAGCTGGCAAAACGGTTTGTCTAATAACTTCCGTTTTATAGAACGGACTTGAATGAAATTTTCAACACAAAATCTACATATTTTATTGGCTTGGTAGAAATGCAAACTCCTTCACTTCATCTTCATACACATGTGCATACACGGGCGCAATATGAGAATTGTTGAAAACGTTTTCTTCTTGATGGACTTTAATATTCCAATTTTCAGGGCGTGATAATGACATTATAATGATAATGACAACAAGCTAAAATACTCTTTTTGCTCTGTGAACGAGTACAAAATTAAACAATGAAATTGTTTGCTCTTTTACTATTAAGAGTTATTAAAATGCAATATTTTCCAATAATCGATAATTATTTTGCAACTAGTTGTTTGTTTACTTCCGCTTGAATTATGAAAAGCCACACAAAATAGAGCTTGAATTACTTGTGTAGATATGGTATGGTAAAAGGCTAATATGCCGAATAAATACTTCAACTGATAGTATATATTTATGACACTGTGGCTATTTTATTCCTTTGAAAATGGGAAATCAGGGTATAATGGTTTTGTGCAAATGTATGTAACAGGCAGAAGGAGGCGTGGCAGACCCCATAAAGTGTAAAGTGTATGTAAAGTTGATGTGCGTTGCATAAAAATAGTGGGTTCGAATCCTGGTGTTCTACTGTCGATTTTTATTTCTTTTTTTTTTTTGAATACTCGATACAAACTACGGAAAATATTAAAAAACTCAGAGGACTGGGATCCTAGTCGGGTACCCCGACTAGAGCTTTCTTACTTGTTAATATTAAAGCTTGCAGACTAGAGAGGATGAACAGAGGAACTAATTGAAATATGAGAAGAAACACTCAAATCTGGTACAACTTCGAAGATGTTGTCGCTCTTCTGTCCAGCTTAATGGGCTGGTGCCAAACACATTTATGTCTCATATATATCAGGTCTGTCTGTAGGAATGGTCAACTTCCGAGCCTGAACCTGGTTTCGATTGAACTTTCAAGCTATGTTCTATTGAAAATAACTAATCGCATCTGATATGGAAACGACTAAACGTCGAAACATGATTTCCTCAAACGTAGCCCTTCCATAGTAGGCTTTGAAAAAAATTAATTTTGTTGGCATATTCTCAGAAAATTTGTACACTGGAAATTGTTCAGTTGACAAGAGGATTTTGTTGTGAATAGAACAGCTCTCTTAAGAAAAAGAAATTCAATAGATTAGAAAGTAAGGAAACACAGAACAATTTTGCGAATTTTCTAGATCTATGTCAATTAAAAAGAATATCATAACAATTAGCATGAATGGACCTCAAGTAGCTGTGCATTTGGATGCCAAGGGCGATGTGATCTATGGCTGTGAGTGTGGCCGTGATTTAATCAAAATCAGCGACGTTTTCACATTCAACGGCGAGCTTTGGTTTCTGGTCCTTTGGGATGGCTACAACATGCTAGAGGCGGTGCCAGCTTGCCTTTTGGGTCAAAAATATCCCTTAGGCGTCATCGACTACTTCGAAAGTATTGTAACTGTCAATTAATAAAAGAGTGAACGTAATTTTATTAGATTATTAAATAGTCTTTTGTTAATAATTTGTGAACTTCAAATACTGAAAGATACATGGAAATAAAACTTGCGATTATAGACGGTAAATCCGGACAGAGCGAGTGATAGTGATAGAGTGAGAGAGTGAGAGTGAGAGTGAGAGTGAGAGTGAGAGTGAGAGTGAGAGTGAGAGTGAGAGTGAGAGTGAGAGTGAGAGTGAGAGTGAGAGTGAGAGTGAGAGTGAGAGTGAGAGTGAGAGTGAGAGTGAGAGTGAGAGTGAGAGTGAGAGTGAGAGTGAGAGTGAGAGTGAGAGTGAGAGTGAGAGTGAGAGTGAGAGTGAGAGTGAGAGTGAGAGTGAGAGTGAGAGTGAGAGTGAGAGTGAGAGTGAGAGTGAGAGTGAGAGTGAGAGTGAGAGTGAGAGTGAGAGTGAGAGTGAGAGTGAGAGTGAGAGTGAGAGTGAGAGTGAGAGTGAGAGTGAGAGTGAGAGTGAGAGTGAGAGTGAGAGTGAGAGTGAGAGTGAGAGTGAGAGTGAGAGTGAGAGTGAGAGTGAGAGTGAGAGTGAGAGTGAGAGTGAGAGTGAGAGTGAGAGTGAGAGTGAGAGTGAGAGTGAGAGTGAGAGTGAGAGTGAGAGTGAGAGTGAGAGTGAGAGTGAGAGTGAGAGTGAGAGTGAGAGTGAGAGTGAGAGTGAGAGTGAGAGTGAGAGTGAGAGTGAGTCTCTACCTACTCTCTTCCTACTCTAGACATATCACAGATCAAGTAGGTGTTGAGCTGTATGTGTTTCATTTTCTTAACATTGGGCCCCATTCATATTGTTGATTGTATCGAAGGTAGACACTTACAGACATACACACATACATAAACACAACAGTTAACATGTGTTAAGCTTGGATGATCGAGGCCGAGATGTCCAAGACCAATAAAAAAATAAAAAAGATGGCCAAGAAAACAGGTCATCCACCTCGTGGCCTGCAGACGACAAAGCCCAATGTCGATGTTGACTATGCGTGCGACTGCCAACTTAATGACGAAAGTTCAAGTAAGCCGAGTGTTTCGTTGCGATTCCAGAATATGTCGTTGCGCCACTCTGACGTCCAGATGCTGCAGGGACCGTATGCCCTGAATGAGCGTCTGATTGCCTTCTATTTTGCGTATTTGCAGACTCGACGCTACAAGATGCAGTCGGATTTACATTTTCTGTCGCCCACGATAGCCTACAGCATGCGTCATCTAGAAGTTCGGGAGCGCCGACGCCTAGTCCAGGGACTTCAACTCGGTAGCAAACCGTTCGTCTTTGTGCCGTTGGTCGAGAATTCACATTGGTCGCTGCTTTTGATAGCGCGACCTGATCGTAAGTTCTACTATTTCGACTCCGAGAATAATCGCAATATGAATCTAGCGCGCATGGTCGTCGAAAATCTACGGGTCACACTGTCTGCCGTTGATTTCACCCTTACTGTTGGCCATTGCCTCCAACAGATCACTGATCATGAACACGATTCCGGCCTCCATTTCATGTGCATGACCGACAACCTAGCCGACTATGTCACTCGCTGTGGCTATGCCACCAGCACATTGCTCATCTCTGTCCAAGAGGTACGAGCCAAGCGCTCCTCGCTGCTGCACCTCATACGGACACTCGGCGGCATTATACCAATGCCTGACACCAAGTCCCCATCCTTGGAACTGTGAGTTTTTGTTACAAATTGGCAATATATGTGGAAGGATGATGTCAAACCCAGGAAATCAAGTCGACTCTCTTGCTACGTTTCTTAAGCCCTTTTAATAGCGTTCGCTCGTTAGGCAATAGTTTCATTTAATAAACGTGAGCAAGAAATGTTAGAAAAACAAAAAAAAAAAAAATAAGAAAATCCTTTAATTTCTGTGCCAAAAACTTGCAAGCCAAAGATAAAACTCATCGTTAATCGTGGCAGAAGAGTGAAGCTCAAATTGTTGGGATTCATTTGCAATTTACTCATTTTTGTAAATTCATATGATACCTGAGATTGATTTCAATTAATGCTGATACTGATCATAATTATAAGTATAAAGTCGTAGATGGTAAACTAGGAAGCTATAAGAGCTAAAGACTACGTTTTATTTTGGCGTGGCCCCACACGTGCATATCAAGTGTGTATCAAATCGGTAACTATTCCCCTTGCAATATATTCCATTGTAACAATACTTTCTCGTAAGCGTTCTGAGCGAGAGCTTTTTCCTATATACATATGTGCACACATACATTCAAATGCGTTTATTCTTCTCTATTCGAAGAATCGAAATTGCGGTTGAAATCTGCTTGAGTTGTCAACTGCTTCTTAAATTGAGATTTTTAACTTTTTGCTCAAGCAGTGAAGTGGTGGTGTTGGCGGCGCTCGTAAGCGCGAAGTCCTGGATTCGCGATAGGCGGCGAACGGGTGTTTTTTTCTGTTCCCATTAAAAATGGGAAATCAAGGTATAATGGTTTAGTGCAAATGTATGTAACAGGCAGAAGGAGGCGTGGCAGACCCCATAAAGTATATATATTCTTGATCAGGACGACAAGCCGAGTCGAATGTCCGTCTGTCCGTATGTGTGAACGCATCAATCTAAGCTTCTATTAGATCTAGAGACTTGAAATTTTTTTTGTAAGTCCGAGTATAGCATGCGCATATCGAGTTTGTTTCAAATATTCGATAACTATTCGCATTTAATTGTTATCGAATAAAAACATGATTAAAATGCAGTTAATAAATTATATCTTGGACGTCTAAAGAGCTAGATCCTCCAAATTTTGTATTAAGTTTTATGTATATTTTTTATGCAATTTTGATTTTTATTGGATACCGGCTCAAAATTTCACCAAATTCTCAAAATTTGAGTTCAGTTGGAACTAGGGCCATTATGTGAGGGTGTTTATATCTCAACCAAGCCAATAGGATATGTAGATCACATACTGCAAATTTCATTAAAATCCATTAAGTAGAACAGAAGTTATTAAACAAAACGTTTGGCCAATTTGCAAAATCATATGTCAGCAGCGCCACGCGCACGCATTTTTCCTATACATACATACATTCAAATGCGTATATTCTTTTCTATTCGAAGAATCGAATTTGCGATTGAATTGTGCTGAATTATTAGCTGCTACTTAACTTCAAATTTGCAACTACTTGAGAAAGCGGTGCAGTGGCTGCGTTGGTAGAGGCGGCGCTTGTTGTCGTATTTTCTCGGGCTCAATCCTCACAGAAACGAGGCATTTTTTATTGATTTATTTATTTTTTTTTTTATTATGAAGTGGCGGTGTTGGTAGAGCTGATGCGCGTTGCGTAAAAAGTTTGGGTTCGAATCTTGGTGTGGTAATGTCAGTTTTTATTTGTATGTATCGGTGTCGAAATGTAGGGTTTTTATGTGTTTTTTTTTTAAATATTCAATACGAACTATTAAATATATTTAAAAACGTAAATAGGACTGGGATTCGGGTATCACCTAGTCGGGAACCCCAACTAAAGCCTTCTAACTTGTTTTACCCTCAACCCGTTCTGTGATAGACCACATAAAGTAACAGCAAAAACTAGAGACTTGAAATTTTAAATAAATATTACAGTGTATCATACGATAAAGCATGTTATTTTCTTATCGGTAAAAACTGATCATTTAACTTATTTTTTATCGTATCTTGAATACCATAAAATATTGAGACATCCAAATTACTGTGGATGGATTTTGTAACGAATATTCAGATTTGTAATATTTTGAGCTATTGATGTAACCCTCCATACCTTGAACCTCATCGGAAGAATTCAGGATATGTCCTACTCGAGCAGTCCCGACTAGAGCACTTTTGGATACGCCTTAAATACAGACTCTTAATTTAACAAAATTGATGACATTTACGTTCGGTTAAAATATGGCCAATATGTGAATAAAATGGCAAGCGTACGCATGGCGATGATAGAGGTGATACGGAGGTGCGTGTGTACAAGTGTAACCGCGTGTGTTTTGTGCACCTATGCATAGCTACAATCTATGTAATATGCTTAAAAACGCTAATCATTCGGGCCGGCTATATTTTAGTTACCAATTCCGCTATTAGCACTTTCTTATTTGTCTAGTATACATCAGTTATGAACATGCTATATGTTTGTATGTATATACATATGTGTGTATATGTCAGCTAGTGCACTTTGTAAATCATGCATTTATTTAGATATGAATTGTGCTGTGTAAACATAGTAGAAGCTCATAGAATATAGTGAATTATACTATTGTATACATTTTCTAAGCTTTCCCCTTTTTTCGGTCGGTAATAATGTCAGGGCAGGGCAGGGAGGTGCACAAGTTGCTTTAATTTGTAGTTAAGCTGCGCAAATAACTCAATTAGTCTTTATGGTGCCACACCCATTTGTAGAGACGTCCGCCCTATCCACCTTGGCTATTAGGTATAAACTGCCAACTCGTTAGAGCATTTCGCAGCCCTGGACAAGGGGGTGGGCGAGCGTTTGGTTTGGATATGGTGGGCTGCATTTCAGTTGGCGGTAACTTCATTACACCTTGTACTAACCTTTCTAGCGCTGCGTGTTGATGAAGAAGTCCATAAAGGTGCGAAGCCCAGCGGCTGCCTCCGTGGGCTTGACTCCACAGCTCATCTACTTAGCTACATCTGAGCTTAAGTCTTCCCTCTCACTGTACCTTTATATTTTGCTCCCTGACTTTCTTACCAACACTTACTCATTCACTTACATGCAGACGGCGAGAAACAAACAAAAAACAACTCTTGGCGCTTGAGGGCGCTGCAGCAAATGGCAAATAAATAAAAGCAACAAAAACAACAGACAAAGGAAAAACAAGTGAGGACGTTGCAGTCAGGCGCTACTGACTGTATAATACCTTTCGCCCAAAAACTTAAAATATACAGTTTTTCCCGATTTGTCACATCATTTAGTGTACATATAATTTTGGCCAATTTTAGAAGGAGCCTTTACTAACGCGACTGTAAAATTTTGTAGAAATTCCATGCCCACAAAGGGGCGAAGATTTTTAAGTTTACAGCCTTACACTCACAAGTATATAGTCAAAATATAAAATCTGTAGCACCAATAGGGCTCGAAGTATATCAGAATTTGGACAATCGTCAGATCCTATTTCCCGCGCACCTTATGGACGAATAAGTGAAAATCTGTAGTGGATCTAAACAGTAATTCACATGCAACATTTTTTAGTTTTATTTGTTAAGCCCAACGCGTCGATCAGCATCTATAAGAACTTGACTCTTGAAATTTTTTTATAGGTTCGTGAATAGCACGAACATATCAAGTTTGCTCTATATATTCGATAACTATTATTGTTATCGAATAAAAACATGATGTAAATGCAGTTATTAGATTATATCTCGTACGACTTAAGAGCTAGAGCCTTCAAACTTTGTATTTAGTTTTATGTATATTTTATGCAATTTTTATTTCTGCTGTTTTTGGATACCGGCTCCAAATGTCCCCAAATTCTTTAAATTTAAGTTAAATTAGAAATAAGGCTATTATGTGAAGGAATTTGCATCTTTACCAAGCCAGATCATATCCTATCATATTTCATTAAAATCCGTTAAGTAAAACAGTAGTATGAAACAAAGCGTTTGCTAATTAACAAAAGCATATGTCAAGCAGCACCAAGCGCAGGCATATTTCCTATATATGTGCACACATATATTCAAATTCGTGTATTCTATTCGAAAAATCAAAATTGCGATTTAACTTGCGATTTGCAATTTATATTTCAGACAGTGCAGTGGTGGCGTTGGTAGGGGCGGCGCTCTTAAGCGCTGATTCCGGGGTTCGAGTCTGGCGACAAAGAAGCATTTTTATTGTTTTTTTTATTTTTTAATTATGAAGTGGCGGTGTTGGTTGAGTTGATGCGAGTTGCGTAGAGATTGTGGGTTCGAATCTTGGTGTCGTAATGTCGGTTTTTATTTGTTTTTTTGTAATATTGAAATATTAAAAAAACTCAGATCTGGCACCCCGACTAGAGCTTTCTTACTTGATTTGATCATGGATTGTCATCACGAGAATATACTCCTCATTTTAAGTCTCTAGCTTCAATAGCAGCGAAATGGTTTTCGTTCTTAAGGACAGACGAACGGTCATTGCACAAATCCAATATACTCATTTCACATCGTCAATGAGCATAAAAACAAAAGCAACCACGCGGCCACGGCCAAGCTGTAACTGTAAAGTAAATTACAAAATGGCGTGAAAATATAGGCCAAAAACAAAGTTAATTGTTGGCCGCTCATTGACGCTGCCGTTGCCAGCAATGTCGGCAATTTAAGTCAGTCTCTTTTTCTATCTCACAAATACACACAATTAAGCACACCCACATGTAGTTAGTTACAGAGTCAACTCGAATAAAACAGTCGTAGCACTTATGGATAGTTGCGCTTAAATTATGAAGGTAGAAAAGAGATTTTTAATAATTCAGATTGAATGGAATAGATAAAGGCACAGAGAAATGTAATCAGAAAATGAAGTTTTATAAGAGGGTTATCGGATTATCTGCATGTGTGTGTTGAGTGTGTGTGTGTGTTTTTATTTTTAGTATTAATTTATTTACAATGACAATACAAAGTTAGGTTTGCTAAAAAAGTAATGCGCGATACTTGCAGAAGGACCGTAAAGCATTGCTTCGCAGGCTCTTTGCGTTTCATTAAACGGAGACAGCTTTCCTTCTGCTACGCTTGATTCCGCGGAGCTTCACCATAACTGTAGCCGTGAAGGGGCTTATTAGTTCAGAATCTTCAAGTTTCACTGTTTCTTCTAGGTATCGTCTCCTCCAGGAAACATGACCTCACTA